CTCGTCAATCTCTATATCAAGCGCCTCCAACACACCCACCCTTCTCGCCCTCCTCTTCCCGATCACCTTCACCGTCCCCACACCCGCGCCATGTCCCTTCACGGTAGCGCTAGCGTACGACCCCACCGTCACCGTGCCCGCCCTCGGCCTCCGCGTCTTCGCGCGCTGCAACGCGAACGCCTCGGCGCGGAGGGCAGTGAGGGAGGCGCGGAGGGAGAGGGCGTTAGAGTGGAGTGGGGAGGGGGAGGGTGCGGCGTCGTCTGGCGTGGGTTCAACGGGTACGGCCGCGGACGGGGAGGGTGCGGGTGCGGCGTCGTTCTGCGGTGGCCGTGCGTCAGCGTCGGAGTCTGTGTCTACCCATGAGCAAGTCAGCATCGGCAATGAGCATCGTCAAAAAATCGTATTCACCGGAAGTGGTGGTGGTGGATTCAGATTCGACGTCTCCTCGCTCCTTCGCCGCCTCGAAAGGCAAAGACGACAAGAAACCGAGATTCGGTACAAGGGCCTCCGCCTTCCTCACCGCCTCCGCCAGCGCCGACTGCGTACTCGCCAGCTCTGCTCTGAGCGCCGCCAGCGCAGCGTCTTCTTCTTCTCTCTCTTTCCCACTCGTCCCATCCGCACTCCCATTCGCACTGCCCCCATTCGCACTTCCACTTGCATCATCCTCATCCCCATCCCCATCCTTCCCACCAGCCTGCACCGCCGTCACAGGCGGCACAGGCGACCCCATCCCCATGCCCAAACCCAACACCGGCAACCGCAACGGCGGGTTACTCGCAAGTTGCTGCGGCCCCCCACCCACACCCGCCCCCCCGTCCCGTATCCTCGCCAACACACTATCCAAATCCATGCTCTTCGGGCGGATGCGCTCCGAGCCCATGCCGCCCATGCCCGCGAGGCCCGCGGCGTATTGCGGACGCCGTTGTTGGGCGGCGGGGTTGTCTCCTCCACTTCCCGCGCCGCCAGAGGGGGAGGTGTAGTCGTATCCGTTATTATTATTGTAATTATTATTGATGGAAGAGCCGGAGATGTTAGGCGGCAGCGGGGGGACGGGCGGAGGGGCGTTCGGTGCGTTTGGCGAAGAGGCAGATGGGGGCGGGTAGACGCGCGTCTCGGCGCGTACGGCGCGCGCGGCGTCGGCGGGGGTGAAGGCGCATGTGACGCGCGCGGCGACTTTGCGGTGGACGACTTCGCCGTGCTCGCCGACGATGTCGATGCCGAATTCCTGGGAATGGGGAGGTATGGTGAGTAGGTGTGTGGGTGGAGTTGGGAGGTGAAGGAGGTGAAAAAAAAGGAGAGGAGGGATGAGAAGGAAGGGAGAAAATGGGCGTATCAGATTGTCGGATGAAGAAACGTGGCCAAAAAAAAAAATCATGAAGATTAGATAGTCTGAGCGCGCGGCAGTGTCAGGGCCCAGATTTGCATCTGCAGAAGATGCAGTAAATAGCTTTACTGCATGCAGCCTTCGCCCACGAAAGTGGACAAGTGCGTATCCCGTACCATACCGCCGGAAAGGGTGCATCTAAGTGATACCGCACACAAGTCGAAAGGTGACTTGCCGGCCTACGGGGGAGCCAAGAAGTCGTGCAGCCCATGGGTTTCAGCAACTGCGCCTCCGCCCCGCCGTGCAAAAGAAAGAAAGAAAGAAAAATCTCCCAGATCTAAGAGACGCGAAGGATGCGCTGCGTTGCACAGATATGCATGCAAACCTCCCTCCCCCCTCGGGTACATGCACATTCGTCTGTGACAACTGAGCATATAATATGCGTGTAAGAGTCGCTGCCCAAGATAGTTGTGTGCACGGGCATATCATAGTGTGCTCCACCGAAACCCGATGAGCATCGACCGCCAGACAAAATATGCGCTGGGGCGTCCAATGTCCAAATATGAGGGGAGGGATGCGCCTGCTACCCCCCGGAACGTGCCTCTTGGGCATTGAATACGCACGCACAGAAGCACGCCGCAAACGAGGGATGAGAGAGAAGACCAAAAAAGCCCGAAAAGGGTATGCCGTCCTGCGACCAAAAAACACCGCCGAAAGTGCGGCATGCGCAAAAGGAGCCGTGCAAATAATATGCGCCCAAACGGAGTCGTATGCACATTATAGTACTCGACCGAAAGCCAATGCGCATCGGTCGCGCGCGCAAAATTTGCGTCGGCGGCCATGGAGGAGATGATTAGCCTCCCCACTATCCACGTAGCACGTAATGGACGCGCATAATACCGCGCCGACGTTAAATCAACACACCAACGACGCGGCCGCTGTATTTCAGAGTACCAGAACACGCGCCGCGCACGAGGGATGAGGTACTGCGCGCTGCGGCGCATTCCCTCCACGCATGAGAAATGGGAAATGGGAAAAGACCACTTACGAGGATATCGTCGCTCCGGAGCTCGAATGCGTCCGACTCTGCGCCTTCAAGGCTGAGCCGCTCGCCATTCACGAACGTCCCGTTAGACGACTTGACGTCCCGAATAAGAATCTACCCCAAAAGATATTGAATTAATATCCTGCAGTGAATGAAACTGTACGCACCCTTCCACCTTCCACCCATGCCTCCGCATGCTGCCGGCTCAGTACACGGCTCTCGAACACGCCGTTCCCCGCACCCGGCGCGCTCTTCTGATTCAGCTGCCGCCCAATGCGGACTCGCGTGCCTGGGGGTAATGCGATCCGTTTTGGGGGGAAGAAGGAGTCGTCCAGGGGAAGGAGGTAGAGCCCCGGTACGGGGTCGGGTGGCTGCATAGAACGTGAGGGATGAGCAAGGGATGAGGATTACAAAAGGGAGGGTGTTGCCAAACAGAGCGGGACAAGGAGATGGTAAACAAGACACGCGGCCGCTCATTTACTCACCCAAGTACTCACCAAAGGATGCCGCACACCAACGACTCGGTAGCGGAGGGTCCGCATCCCCAGCACGTACGCGAGATCTGTTCAGTTACGTGGAGGTTGCCTGCTCGACTCAGGCCCGAGTCATGTTTGAGTTCACTAAGGCTTTTCAATGGAAATGATCCCCCATCTACACCGCCAATTGGCAAGCACCTGGTGGCCAGGTGCAGTCGACATGTGCGGTACATGGCTCGGGGGGCTAGCAGCCAGCTGAGAACAAGCTGATCTGAGGTTAAATGACGTATGGCCCCACCATGGGGCCAGGTCGAGCTGGCGGCCAGCTGTCGATGGAGGCTGGTATCTAGCTGCAGTAGCACATGTCTCTTTTATTAACAATTTATTCCCATCCCTTCGCCCGCCATGTTACAATGCATGTCTGAATGTAAGATTCATTGCATTAGATGTCTACAAGTGGGACTACTACATAATCGATCACGCATCGGCGTCGCCTTGAACGGCAGTCGCCATATCCATGCCCCCCGATGTCGCATGAGCACCGCTTTGTCATCAAGTACGACGTCGTTTTAGCCGTATGTTCTCTGGTCCTCGTCTAGAATGAAAGGAAAGAAAGAAAATTGCATAGAAACGAGAATCTTGCGGAGGAAAAAGAACTTGAATTAAAAACTTGAAGTGGTACTCGAAGGGAGAAAAGGTGCGAAGATTTGATGGCAACACTTGAGGGCTCCAAGCTTAAGGAATTGTTGAATGGCTTGCAGCTGCTATGAAGAGACCGTAAGACAACTCGGACTTGAGTTTGGAAAGACCGAGGCCCGTTTACTTCACTTGAGAATTTTGAGGGATCCCGATGATAGCAAATCTTGAGCTTGAGAGGTCTGAACGGAAACCAAATTTGTGCATTGAGCTTGAGGCGAAGCTTGGAGCGAGAAAAATTGCTTGAGAAGAGCTTTTCAAAATGGGAGACGACGACTTGATGATACCGCGGACTGGACAAGAGTTAAACGGGGGTACAAGGGCACGGAGATCAGAGGTTAGGCGGCAATGTTGAGGTGCGTGAATTCCGATGAAAGAACGCTTGGAATTGCGGCACGGCAGCAAACCCAGACAAGGGGAAGAAAGAGCAGACAAGCCCGGCGGGGACGCAGGCGCCCGGCCCTCCGCGCAGCACATCTGAGGTGGTCACGGTGTGTTACGGTGCAAATACGTGTGGCTCGCCGGCTAACCGTCACTGCTGTGTCCCAGTGGCCTGTGGAGGCTGCGGCGTGCGTCGTGTTGGAGCAGTGCGGATCACTTACATACACCCCCGAACCCAGCTCTCCTCCCATTTGAACTCTTGCCATTGATGAGGGAGTTGTGGACAGTGGAAGTGGGAGGAAAGGAAAGAGCAACGCGCAAGCAACATGCACGTGATGAGCGATACACTACCAAACAAGCGCACGGACCTCCCTCTCAACTAAACCTCAAGCCGATTGAAGGACGTTATCCTATACAACTGGTCAGCGGGTCATTGAAACACAGATTGCATTGAAATTATATCCAACTAGTGGGGTTGAGCGCTGCGTGATTCCGCCCGGAATCAACGACTTGATCTATATAGCGAGGAACGAGCTGGGTATATAGAGCGTCTGTCCACGAGAGACTAACGACTTGAGCCAGCGGAGCCAGCAGTGTTGGGCGTGAATTTCAACTGGGCGGCAGGGTACGTATTATTACATAGGCATATCCTTTAACAGTTTGAAACTAGAGATCGCATCTTGTGCAAGAATCATTACTACGGCCTGCTGCTGGAAGGGGGCTGCCAGAACAATATCATGACCATGTGGACTGCAGCTGGTGGAGAGCTGAAATTCCGGATGAAAATTCCAGGTGGTATCTACCTGGTACCGGGATGGAACCAGGCGTCAAAATACTGTATGTGGGCGGCATGTGACTTTTCCACGTGGTGGAAACCTGTCGGCACTTTGGCGGTGTAGCTTTCCAATAGTCTGACTGCTCCAGATTTCTTCTGGCACGTCGAATGATTTAAGAATGCTATCAACACACTTCTCCCAATTGCCGAACTCCGAACCAACATCGACTGCATCTACATTCGCAGCCCAATGTTGACGCCAAATCCCCACCCATTTACTTCCTGTTTATTCAGCTAGGGACCGACTCGGTGGCGGAAGGCCCGTACACCCGCCATATTATAGTATTGTGAAGAAGAAATGTTAGGGTATGCTGCCTGTTCGATTCAGGCCCGAGTCAGGGACTGCCGCTGGATTCCTTTTTTTTAAATGAACTTCCCAGCGCTCCCTCTTCCCCGTGGATTGATTCAGCGCGCGCCGTAAGTTACATGATTTATCTTCCATGGTCCTTCGACATCTCCGCATCTACAGAGGTGAGAGTATCCCACATTCCGAGCCAAATTATTCAATCCGGTTTCAAACTGTGTACAGACAGACTCGGTGGCGGATGGTTCCGTATATACAATACTCGATGAAGTTCACATATCAAGCAGAAGACGTCTGTTCGACTCAGGCCCGAGTCATATGAGGAGAATATTATTGTTATTATTCTCTCTCTCTTCCGAGGGTTTTAATCCTCCTTCCCCTGTCTGCGCCGCGGCGAGATCTCGAAAAGTTTTGACGGTTCCCTCACTCAACTCTCATATGTTTGACACAGGTCCAAGTTGTATACCGACTCGGTGGCGGATGGTCCGCATCCATGATGCCTTGCCCCAGATTGTAGTTCCGGTGGAAGTCGCCTGTTCGACTCAGGCACAAGTCATAGCTTTGGTCGGGCTATAGTCCTTTTAAAAAAGTTTCTTACGCCTTTGGTTCTCCTAAACATTCTCGTGCTAGCCAGGAATTCAGTTCTAGGAACAACACTCTTCATCATCCAGGTGGCTCAAATCCTCCAAAGTCACTGCCATCTACATCCACATCTAGATTTCGCCTCCGTTCTTCAATTAATTAATCAAGAGCTTATTTTTTGCCTAAACTATATACCGGCTCGGTGGCGGATGGTCCGCATCCACAACACTCGTACCGGAACACTGCAAGTTCAGTCAAGTAAAGCTCGCCTGTTCGACTTAGGCCCGAGTCCTGTATAGTGTTTTTGCCACCATTCGCTTCACAACAGCCAAGTCGGTCAAAACTGCTAGAAATCAACAGAAATCACTTATGTACTTTTCAGATTTTCAGGTTCGGCGTTCGAACGCGACCGTTGCGCCCCAAACGCCGAACCTGAACACGGCGTTCGGTTCGGTAAAATGCTGAATTTGAACCTGAACGTGGCATTCAGTTCGGTTCAGGTTTGGACCCATTCTTGGACCGAACCTTGCCATCATTAATCGCTTCATGCAAGCTTCATTGCATTTTTGGCAGATAGTATCATTCATTCCGAGTGTCATTCCAGCCTAAGGCTACTTATCGCGCTCCATCGCCCCGTTTCTCTCATCGATCTCTTTCCATTTCCCCTCCTTCAACCATGTCCGAGCAACTGGCAAGGTGAGCACATATCCCACCACTCCACGCTCGAGCGCCGATCTTCGCCCTAGAATACGTCCACAAGAACCTCATGGGCAGTGACTGCCTCACTAATGCAGCGATCTTTCTCGCGAGCCCCGAGGCGAAAACACTGGCGAAAAGCCCGGAATACAAAGTGCGTCTCTGATCACGATCTCCCCCCCCCCCCCCCCCCCCCGTTCCTCCCCCTCAAAACCGCCCAGATTCAGGAGGACGAATACAGGCAGATTTATGAGGCGTTGACCGACGAAAGATATCTTCTCGTTGATGACTTTCCGCACGTGAGGGTCCAAGTGGATAAAGAGAGGAGTCGCCAGTGGATGATATGGGCGTGGCGCGATTACGAGGTGCGCTGTGCTTCCGCTACCTGGTCGTACGCTGACTTAACGGCCACTTATCCAAGAGATTCAGTGGGTTTGTCATCAAGATGACGGACGACGTAGTTGTGGTGGGAGAATGTGAACTAAGTAATGACGTCGCAGCTGGGGAAGCCGTGGAGAATTTAGTACGCCTCCTGACCGTTAAGCCTAGGGAATCCTGAGCTGCGAAGCTTCTTCAGGAGAAAGTCGTAGTACTAGGACACAGAGACAAGACCGGCCGTCCCTTCGCTCTGGCAAGTGAAATAATAATAGACCCAAATTTTGCACACAATACAGAAGTACAATTTGACATAATTTACCTGAAAAACTCGGTACCGAACCATCCTTCCGGAAGAACTCTGAATTGCCATATAATCAAAGAAAAGACTTTGAAAAGAGACCGCCAAGCTAAAGATGTCAGCAGTTCATCTGTTCAACTGCAAAGCCGTACTCAAAATCTGTCAACAAAGCTGTTCTGGACCCGCGGAGAAGCGCCGTTCAACTACGCCTGCCTTTAGTGGCTCAGGGCTCATTCATATCATAATTGTGGTCGACGTCGCAGCTACCGCACACAATACAATTGGAAAGGGAAACCGGCGCTACCATCCCGGCCTCGTCTGGCTGGACCCCACTCACAATCGCTTCTCCCCTGGAGAAACGTAGCAACTTTGTCGCTACCTGCACCAATACCGTTATCAACACGAGCAGTTTCACTCAGCTGACCGCGACATGTCAGAATGCAGGCGGTATCGGAACGACAACCTCAACCATCAGTTTTAACTCATGCATCGATTGTACCACAAATAGTTGAGCATCGGTTATAGGTCAACTTTCTTGAGCAGTGCAGCTCTCACCGCAGACTCACGGGAATACTGTTTTTGAAAATCCAACCAGTCTCTTATTCAAAAATGGTACCCGGAGACGATATGTATTACCAAGCAGCAGGGTAATCCGGTGGTGCTTCTCCTTCCTCCCACCGACGACTCTCATGGTCTGGCGCTGTCTTAATATTGGCCGGCACGGTGGGGACGGAAGGTGGCGCCGGATTCCGGACGCCGCCACGCTTCTCCCTTGGATGTGATCTCGCCGGATAGAGGCTACATCAATCAAGTCAGAAAAGTTGCTTGTGCGCGAATGGATCGAATACTGACGCGAGAAACGGCTCCGGTACGACGCTTGCAGTCGGAGAACTCTGACAAGAGGAGGAAAGGTGGCCGCGTAGCCACCAGAGAAACATCAGGATAAGGACAAGGATACATAGTGCGCCCAATGTACCGCCCAGAATGGCGGCAGTCTTTTGAGGCCTCGGGTTGCGCAGTGAGGAAGTTGGAGAAGGAGAACTTGACGGAGATGTGGGGGAGAACGTCTCGAGGCCGATTGCGTTGATCAAAACATCCAATGCAAGCGTCTGATTGGTGCCTGAAAAGTTCGCATTGGGTGGACCTGTCCAGGAGCCACCATAGATATTGGTATCGTTTGCCGTAGCCAAATTGGTCACTGCATTAAACTGTGACCGTTATATCAGAGGGTATGTCGTTGTAGTTGGTATCTTTGCGTGTACCTGGACCGCCATATAGTGAGCGACATATCGACGCAGCGCAGTATTCGTCGAGTTACGCATATAAAATGCGTTGAGACCCCGCAGTAACCAAAGACCTCCATCTATCCCTGTGGGTTCAAGCATGAGGAATAACAAGAAAAAAAAATTACATGGGGGAACTACGTACCCTGGGCCGTGACAATCCCGTTGGCGTTGTGCCACGTAGGGTCGGGAATTATAGCCTCAATCAAGTCACTCAAGCTGCCAGTGCATCCAAATTTGGTCAGTACATCATGCTAAATCACGCTAAAATGTTTGATCTCACAGTTTCTGCGTTGAGCCATTGTTTGTGATTGAAACAAGGATAGATAGGCCTTCAACCATCACCCCTGAGCTGCTTGGGTCTGTGGAAGATTGGACTTGACAAGGTTCGCTGGCATCGATGGAAATATCATTTTGGACGAGGTTTCGGAGGTTGTAGAGATGCGCGTGAATAAAAGTGGCGGATTCATTCGCGGCTCGAAGATACAGCGGATCAGAGGTTATTTCGGCCAACAGCGCGGAGAGTCTAGCGGTAAAATGATCATGAGGGGACGTGTCGGAGCGCAGCAGCGAACGTACGCACACGAGAAAGGATCTGGATTCTAGAGTTGAAGCGTTGTATACGGATATTAGGGCCCAGAACTTACCCGGTAGAAACGCCTGAGACACTGGGCTCCGAAGGATCGTTATTCTTTGCGCGTCAAGGTCAGAGGGAGTTGCAAACAAGCACCGATCGAAACTGGACATACCCAAAAAGTCCCTCCAACCATGGTAGCTGCGGAGGCGTTTCAGCAAATGATATCCAGCCAGCCTGACGCCACTCACCATCCTGGCAAACTTGTTTGAGTGTGAAATTCTTCACTGCACTCTTGCCTGCGTCGAGATCGCTCTGCGATATCGTGCGCAATCTACCGTACCACCAGGATTGAACGGCATATTGAAGAAATGTAGGATTCTTGTACGCCGTGTATGCTCTGGCCGCTGCGTGTCCATATGATCTATGGAGAATTTGGATTAATTGACACAACCTGGTAGACACTAAAAGTCTTACAGCCCGTAATTCGTCTGTGCGATTATCCAGCGAGATGAGTCAAAGAATTTAGAACTCAACGGGTAAATAACTGACACTGGTGAGAGTCAGGCTCAGCGCATAGATAATCGCCGGTTAAACACACTCACTATAGATCCGAAAAGTTTGTCCGCGCCTTCTGGACGATAGATAAATATTGTTCCAGGGTATTTCGGTACTTGGTTTGATTGGTGTCGAGGTCAAACTGTGCCATTTGGGAATAAAGGTTTCCCGCAACTCCGAACGCTTCGCCTGAGAAGCGAGGCAACCGAACACAGTCAGCTATATGTTTGGAAGTGGTGTCATTGCGCACCGTCAAATAGCCCATCTGCACTAACTCGGTCGATGGCGGTGTCCAATGCTGCGCCGGCAAGCCTGGTCCGCTCCGCTCTCGAGATCGCGACAGTCGTGTTCTGCCAGAGTGGTTAGGAGCGCACGTAGGTCACGAAATGTGGGACCACACCCAGAACGTGGGGGTAACTTGCGATGCGACACATGGGACGTTGAGTAGCACAACGCTGGCGAGGAAAATAAGCAAGACCATCGATGAGTGGCCAATGCTCGGCATCTTACGACAGGAGGCAATCCCTTTTATTCTCTTTGAAGCAGGATCAAAGATGCCCGACGGCGGCGACTCGCCTGCGAGAAATTTGAATAATCATCTGCGCGTCTAATGGGAAGCGCTAATCAGTCAGCAACTGGCGTTCTGAATGAACAGACCATTGTTG